TCATTGTACTTCGTTCAGTTACGTATTGCTTCCAGCGCCATTGTCGGACATGAGGACGATTAAAGTGTTGTTGATTTGATTGCTTTTTGAGGTTTTAAAAATGAGCGATTTATGCCAAGAGGGCATTTTTCAATAAAAATTTTCGGGATTTTCGACCAATCAAAAGCCTCAAAAATTTTGTGACGAAAAAATAATTTTTTCAACCCTTTTCCTTTCTTCAAGCGCTTTAAACAGCTTTCCAACCATTTCATCCGCCTCCGCAATCATCTCCCCCACAATCCCCACTTCCGTCGTATTTCTAAATTTCTCCTGAGAGTTGAAAGGCCCGTGCCCAAATCGCATCCCGTAGTACGCAAAGAACGGCTTTTCCGAATCAGCATTGGCTTTGATGAACTCATTGAGCTTCGTTGAAATGGTCAAGTCTTTTGTTCGCGAGTCGAAATTGGGCTGAGCGATCATGGATCGAGGGTAGTTGTTGGTGAACCGCTCGCCGTAGGTTTCTTCTTTTGGCCAGGGTGCGGCGACATAAGCGCCTTTCCAGAATTTGATGCCTGAAAAAAAGCTCAATGGAGGAGAAAGATGAAACGTTTTGAAGAGATTATTTGTTCCAAATTATTCAGCAGGGGTCTTTTTCACAGAGTGCCCCCCTTAATTCATCTTCTAAGACGTCGAATTTTCTAGTGCCAAGATAAAGCACCTCTACGTACCTGTGTCTAGCTCTCTTTGAGTAGGTCCTCCTTCTGGAAAAAATCGCTGAATCGCCCACTCAGTAAACGGCTCAACTTGCTTCCCATTCTCAAAGTATCCATTCGGCGAGCAGCAGGGAGATTCCGCCGAGAAGGAATAGTCGAAGCCATGGTCGATTTCAGAAAGCATGAAGGTATAGTTTCCGGGTCGGAAAAACAGGCGTTTTTCGTCGAATCGATCGTTGAATTTTTCCCCGTTCGCGTATGTCTTCTTCCATTCGTTCAATTTCTTCCAGCGAATGTGATCCTCCGACTGGATATCGTTCCTCAGCATCGTTTGGAAGGGTTGAGTTTTGCCGAAAACGCCAGTTGTGTAGCCAGCTTTTTGAACATGAGACCAAGATGTGGTTCTCGCCCGGGCTTGATGATTCGTTCTTTACTGTCTTTTAGAGAGTATCTTCCGGTGAGGAGCATGTAGCGACTTGGGGAGCAGCGGGAGGATCCAGAGTGCGCATCCTTAATTTAAAAAAATGAGAAAAAAGGGCAAAAAATAATTTTTTTTTCAGATAAAAATCGAGAAAAAAAGCAAAAAAAATGAAAAATTTTAAAAAAAGTCTCCGTCAATTATGAAAAGTCATCTTTTTTACCTTAAAATTGACTCCTTCTGTCCCCAATCTGTCAATATTCGGCGTTGGCACTTTTGCTTTAGCCTGGTTCACTTGAAAATCTCCGACTCCAAAGTCATCTGCCAGAAGAAGAATCACATTTGGTCTCTTCCTTTCATCTGCGAATATTTGTGAAAAAATCGAAAAGTACTTCGCAAGTTTCATTCTATTTTTTCTAGTTGACTTTTTGGTGGCGCGGCGCACTTTTATGCGCGCCGCCGTATTTTTGGTAGTCGCAAGTGCGCGCTAAAATTTGTGCACTTGCAATAGAAACCGTGTTTTCTACTAAATAAGGACGCGTCAGCAAGTACGTTTTTCGTCGGGATAAAAATATAAATTACTCGTCCGGCTGGTCCAAAAGTCTTGTCTTATTTATGTTTCACTCAATCACCGTCATTTTCAGTCCACGGCGTTTTTTATACTTCCTCAGCACAGCTTTTCTAAAACGCGAATTTCGCAAAAAAAGGAACAAAAACGGTCAAACGCGATTTTTTTTTGGTTATTCTTGTGGTTTTCTTGCATAAAAATTTTTTTTCAAAATAATTCATTAATTTCTTCTCACGTTATAATCTCATTTATGAGTAGTAAAACATAACGGGTCCGCCCTGTTAAAAACAACTCCACCCAAATGTCTGATATAAACTGATTTTCTCGATAATTTCTCAAATCTTTCGAAAATTATTTGAAAGCTCGCAAAAGAAAACGTGGCTGGCGGAACATTCAAAAATACTCTTTGCCACTAAAACAAGATTTTTGGTCAACTCGTAAATTTTCATTTGAGCAAGAATTTCAAATCGAAAAATTATTCAAAAGAAAATTCTCCAAAATTTGGAAGATCTGATCAAAAAATAAAAGTGCTTAAAAATCTAAAGCTTTTGGACTTTTCCCTGGGCAAGGTGAATAACAAAAAAAAAACTAAGCTTTAAAAATTTTAAGCTTTTTCATTTTTGACATGATTTTTCAGGCGGTGCGTTTTTAAGGCCGATTTAAACCCCGGTTGGCCGCTGACACCCTTAAAAACGCAACCCCTGAAAAATAATGGAAAAATAAAAAAGCTTAAAATTTTCAAAGCTTAGTTATTACTTTTTTTGTTAGTTACCCTATAGAAACATTAAAGAAAAAAAATGTCAACTACTTGAAGCTTTATTAATAGTATTTCGGCAGATTAGCAAAAAATTTTGTCTATCATAAACTCATAAAAATCATTACTGATTTCTCCATTAGTATGTTCTTCCAAATTTCCCTCGAAAAGTGATTAAAGTAATTGTCCCTAATTGACTTACAAGCGCATAAAACTCGTTTCCGAAGAAAACGTAATTTGTTAAGATTACATGCTTAACGCTACGTGTTTGGTTGTTTCGAATCCAAATTATAAACGCCGTTAGACGGTCAGAAGTCATCAATAACAAAGTGGATCGTGGCAAAAATATGTTGCGAGTTTTTATCATAACAATCATTTAATGAAGTCAGCATTCTAATTATGATCCCCGAGTTTTCTCGTTTTTAACCTCTCTGTGCTTGGCTCAGCAATCTGAGTGGTAAACTGACAAAGAAAAAATTCCTGAGTAAGGGTCTCTGACGGGGAGGTGTCTGGAACCGACAAAAAATTCGACAAATTTTGCGTGGAAATTTTTAACCAATCAGAGATCTGGATTCGGCTTAGCGGCCAATCGGCAGCCGAGAAGCCGCCTACGCAAAATCTGTCGAAATTTTTTTGTCGGTTCCAGACACCATCCCTCTCTGACTCAGCTTATTTCCATTGACAAGGATAAGTCTTTCATTCAAATATTTATAGAAACTGAGCTCCTGAGCTCAGATACCTGTGTCGAAAACCTGAGTCAGGTTTCTGAATAGCTTAAATGAAAAGCCGCACAGAAACCTGACTCAGGTTTTCGTCAAAGGTTGCTGAGCCTGGGAGCTCATCCTCTATGTATTTCAAAATATTGAACATATCCTTGTCAATTTATAAATGGTCGAATAAGCTAAGCGCTTTCTCGTACTGAATTAACGAAATATAATCTTACACTTTTTGAAACACAGAGAGAGCTCTGGAGAAAAGAGAATCATTCTTTGAAAATGAAGCGAGAAATAATTTTAAGCCTTCTTTTTATTTTCCTGGCGCTGTTTTTTCAATTGGAAATTATGCGCTGAAAAAACCTGACTCATCAAAAATGCCGGAAATTCTAAACTCGTCTCTTTTTCGAAGCTTTCCCGAACAGAGATTTTCTGAAGACAATTTCAAGCAGATAAAAATACGAATTGAAAGAGAAGAATATTCGGGGATCATCTCAGTTGATGTCGTTTCATTTTCTGAAGGAATCGACTTTTGTTACTTTTATAAGTTGAAAATGCCGAAGGTTCCTTTTGACATAATGATGATCAACGAAACTGATAACTCTCATGCGAACTGGAACCGTGAGTCATTTATTGCTATTTTGATGAGGATGATTTACTATTTATACTATCAAAAAATGTTAAAATAAATAATTACACGCGACACTTTAAGGACCGCCCCCGTCAACAATTTTCGAAAAATCTATTTTCGGAATTTCAAAATTTTGACCCCGGAAATGGATTCTACAGGTCAAAAAGAATTTGAGGCTTCTTTTGGGGGCCTATCTCGACTCTAACACCCTTAAAATCACGTTTGAAAATCGGACGAAAACTCACGAAAAAGTCCAAACTTTGCTAAAATCTCAGATTTTTATTGGTCAAAAAGTACTCCGAACAAGTTTTTATGATAAATTGAACTTCTAGGAACTCTAAGAAGCCAAAATATGGCTTTTTTGAAATTTTGGGGTCCTTAATTAATTTTAAAAAGGGGATGAACCTTGTTCATGCTCTTACTTCCTGCAAAGAGCCCTTTGTTCATCCTTAAAGCCACGTAACCATTGATTTCTAGAAGGACCGTCAGTTTGGCTCAATGCTTCAATGGACAATCAAGGAAAAATAACAGCATCAGAAGAACTCGCACCTCTTCTGGAAAGCTCGAAAAACAAGAACATCGACAAGCCCCTGTTTTTGATGCAGCATCATGATCCGATAAATAAGAGAATACAGACTTGCTACTACTTCTTTGACGGCAGGTTATCAGAAAGTTTTCTTATAAGAAATATCTTTACATTTGCGATGATCATCGATTTCTTGACAACAACAGTTCAACGCCGGATATCAGAAAAAGGTGGATGAAAAAAATGATTTTTATTATTTTAATTTAAAGTGATTCTCCCGACGAGTTACCTTGCAAGCCATTCATTCTCACTGAATTGTTTCTACAAAATTTTATTTACCCAAAACGACTTCGTTGGGGTTTCGATAGCGAATTCTTCAGCGGCCTCACGAGATCTCAATACGCGAAAAGAGACCATTATGACACAAATATTGAGCTTTGCAATGACGAAAGTAGGTAGAAATCACAATTTCATTACTTTATTTTGACAGCGTATGCAATATACTGGCTGAGTTGCCGAAACGGGGTGCCTTGTCAAGATGGTTTTGACAAAGAATTTGGAGGTAAACATGCTTTTTTATTTTGCAATTGATTGTCGAATTTAGGCCGATTGAAGGTGGTGCAACAGAATGAGTACAAAAGAGTCGTGTGCGTGTGACCCTTTTCATTCCGTCGAAGAAGCATCATCAATCGCCACCACTGGACCTGTTGTTGGTCTCTTCATAAATTTCGTTCACTCTTATGGCAGTTCGCATAAGCAAACCTAAATTTCAAAAGAAATTGTCTCGAGTGGTCTCCGTTTGCCCAAGTCGCCGTTTGCCCAAGTGGGCAGACAAACTGGGCAGACGGCGACTTGGGCAAACGGCGACTTGGGCAAACGAAGACCACTCAATTGTCTCATTTAAAAAGAAACTTACAGAGTTTGATAGGAATTGAAAGATCCACGGGAAAGGTCATTGTTGCTTTGTAGTTGATGTCTTTTACAATTGATAAAAATCCACCATCAGAAATATATTCAATTTGGCTGTCAAGAGTCGCACCTTCCTCCCCATCAACCTTGCTTGAGAAGAGAATTTGTTGAGCATTTTTTCCAGATCGTTTTGGTCGGCTGATATCAAAAACCACATTCGACTTGTTATCCAACAGTTGAGCATGAGGATTGCATCCAAAAACCTGCCTGTAAAATTTTTCTAACGACTCTACATTCTAGAGTCTAGAATCAATGATCTTCCTACCTGAAGCTTCCAAGATGCTCTTGTCCGGCAAAAACACCGATGCAAACTTCATTCTACAAATATTCTTAGCTTATCATTGAATAAGAAGTAAACAAACCAAGCAAAAGCAGAAACCGCACCATTGGCCTTTCTCCAAAGTCTCAGTTTTCAAAGCATTTCCAAGAGAAGGATGAGTGGCCGAATATTGCACTTCGAAATCGCAACAGCCTTTATGATTGACCTTTCCACTGATTTGGAAAAGCTCTTCGTCCTGACTATTCAAAACAGTAACACTCATCTGTCCATATTTTTTCCGCGGGTCTTCTTGAAAAATCGCTTTGAATTGCGTTTCTAACAAAATATTTTCAAAAAAAAAATCTTAAGAACCTAAAAAACCTGTTTTCAAAAACTCAAATTGAGAACTCATCCTTTATCTCTCTTTGAAAATCGATCAAAATCGACTTTGTTTGTTGTCAGAATTGCGTTATTTTTACGCCCGGGTGTAATTGTGGTTTACTTTTATGAGTAGGGTGGAGAGTTAAAAAATGGGCTTTTTACTCGGTTGCTAACGATTTCTACGAAGATTGCTGACAAAGCTCATTTTTGGTATGCACTGACTACTAGTCAGTGACTACGTTGCTGAACGTCGCTCAATGTCGCCCAATGTCGCCAAATGTCGCTTAACGTCGCCGGATGTCGCCTAATGTCGCCAAATGTCGCTGAATGTCGTCATTTTATTTTAAAATAGCTCAAATAATATAGTTATTTCCAGCGACATAAGGAGGCATTAGGCGACACTCAGCGACATACAGCGACATTCGGCGACATTCGGCGATATTCGGCGACATATGTCAGTTCCAGCTCATTTTTTGAATCTGACCTTGCTTTCATAAATTTGTTTCTTTTTAATTTATTAATGAAACTTCTCCTTCCGGATCATGGGCAAATGGAAACACGGAGTAAATTATTCATGGTGCTGTATTGTCTCCAAAATACTGGTCCACTGCCAAATTCGCCGTCACAGTCCAAAGACGCTCCTTGAAAACGCTCGAACTCCTGGCCCGCGGCCCCGTTTCGCGACGTTTGAATTTTTAGAATTTGAAGAGAAAAAAATCGAAAATTCAAAATTGAAAAAAGGTTAAATCCTCCTTGAGTCGTTTTTGAATCAGCTCCGCTGATTACTTGAGCCGACTTGAGCCACTTCGATTTTTTCATTCTCTGAGAAAAAAAACACCCGATATTCGATTTTGCCCCAAATTAGACACAAAGCAATTGACTTTTTTCCTCCGTCGGAGAAAGAGGATTGAGAAAAAGAGGAGAACATGCCGAAGAAAATGATTCCCGAAGTTGAGAATAAGGTGATTACTGAAATCTTGACTGGTTCTTCTCTCATCATAAATTCTAGCTTCAAGTCCAAACAATCAACGCCGTGGCGAACCTCCAAAATCTACGTCGAAACGCGAAAAAATCAAGCATCAAATTGAAGAAATTCTTCTCTTTCAACCGCCACAAAATCCTCGAAAACGAAGAATCCTTTTCCGAATTTCCCTGAACACCAAATATAAACGGTCTCTTCCTTGATTTCAAGCAATTTATTTCAAGTTATTTACAAATAGCTTCTTATCGGCAGCTGATCGTATATTTCTTCTTGCGGGATAAACGAGGGCTTTTTAATTATTTTAATGAAGTGATAAGTTCGAGGATTAAAGCCCTTTATCTTGGAGGAAACGAAGCAGAACCAGCATAACCTGGAATCGTGTGATGGCTATAATTTGAGCGTATCGAAGTATGCTCGTAATTAACCCGCTTTGAAGAGGCTCAACCAAGTTGCTTTTTGAACAAGAAATCGACAGTCTTTGAGACCTGATCCTGAGCTCCAAGGTGGTTCATTTCCATTTGTGATAAGGGGATATTTTGAGCATCACAAAAATTTTGATTGTTTCCATACTGATTTGCTGTTGAATAAGGCTGAGTTGCGACGTAGTTCGGGTCTGGTTGCTTATGATGTTTTTCATAAGAAGAAAAGTGAATTCAAGAGGAAAAAGTATTTTCTAAAATTATTAAAAGCTTACAAAATAAATCATAAGTAAAATTCAAATCCCTTTCAAATTCAACATGTAAGTTGATCCGAAAATTGCCCAAAATTAACGATTCTTATCGAATCTTATCGTAATAAAATTCAATATAATTTTTCGAGAATGCTTTGAAAAACTATCCTTAAACTGCATGATACCAGATGTGTTCCAAATTTGTTGAAGAATATTTGATTGATTCGTATTGTTGTTGTTGCTCAAATTATTCTGCTCGAGTGGCAGCGGCTCTCGATTTTTAGACTCGCTTCCTACTCGCATATAAATGAGCGTGCCAATTATGGCGAAGGAGAATAAAACTCCGAAAGTAATCCCAACGATCAATCCTGGACGTGACTCCTCAGGTGCCAGTTCTCCGCCACGTTCCAAGTCTGCCAGCGCAGGGGATGGAATACCAGTGATTTTGGAGATTTGCTGATTGCTGCACTTGTGCATCGGGCATTCTTTCTTCAACTGGGCAGATTGGCTTAGTTGAGAATGTGGTGGCGGGTAGAAAATTGCTTCGTGAGAGCCACAACAGTCTTTGAGTCCACACATTCTAGCGTCAACTGGACTTCCGCTTCGATCAAGACAGATGCGGATTTCTTCGAGTTTTTGAGCCTCTCGACGGCGACTTGGCTCGCAAGTACAGTGGATTGAAAAGAACTGAAATAATCTTCCATTTTCCACTTTTCAAAAATCTGAGAAAGCATCAGATAGTGCTGAAAGCTCACCTTAATAGATCTGATCGCACCAAACGCTTGAGCCCGTTTAATTAACGCCTCATTTATCTGCCTAATTGTATAAGTGTTTCTCTTAATTCGGCTCGTTCCTATTTCTGTAATTGCTCAAAATAAATACTTTTTAACAATCAATTAGGAAAATCATTTAACATTTAAAGCGCAGCAAAGAGAGAAAAGCCTGTCCCTCGTGAGCTTTGATCTCTTCCAGCGCCAGAACATCGGCAATTTTGAATCGTTGGGCGATTCCTATTGTTGCTTCTTTAAAAATCGGATGAGATAATCAAAGAACAAAAATGATGACTCAGCAGAATCAGAAAAGATCGTCTGTCCGCCTTACCCCCGATTGTCAGCTTCAATTAATTTTCATTGAATAATTTCACCCGTTCCAAAATACTCATATGCATTTCTGAATCTTTCCGGTCTGATGGCTCCGAATTTGCACCAGCTCTGAGCCCAAAGCCATTCGGATCCATATTCCTCGCATCTTAGTCCTCTCTTCTCCCTGTTGTTCATATTTGGCCACTGCGAAAGGAGCTGATAGTCCAGGTTTCCAGTTTGATTTGAGCTCAGGCGGGTGTAGATGGAACAGCCTGAAACTTGGCTCGGCAATCTGTATAGAAAACCTGAGTCAGGCTTTGAAGAGCTAAAATGAAGAGCCGCAAAGCAGATCTTTAACACAGGTTGCCGATCCCAGGCCTGAACCCATCGTGTCGACTGGCCAAAAGCCCTTGATTTTCCAGCTGTTGAAATCGACGGCTTCGTCCATTGAGCATTCGCAGTCATTTTCATGCGACTCGTTTATCGCCTCACAAGTTGACTTTTGGGGATTCAAAAAGGCCCTTCGAGGAATAAGTCAGCTAAGTTTGACGTCTAAAAATGGAAAGAACGATTATCGTGGAAGAAACTTTCACGTTCTTTTTCGCTTTTAAAATCCATGACTGGGGCCATTGTAACGCGAGAACATAATAACCACGGTCTGTGTCAGCGGTGGGAAAGCTTTGAACTTTACCGTTGTGGGTTCCAGGACGGCCGATGATCTTTTCGACAGGCTGAATCATTGTCTGTTTCTTTCGAAGGTTTAATAAGAAGCATTAGTGACTCTTCCTCAAACACTCACAAGTTGTGAGTCATAACTATATTTTTGGACTTCGCGTAATACTAATTTAAAAATGTGGTTTATCCGATTACAAAAGAAAAAAATTCCCTTCTGAAAAATTTTTTTTTGTATTTTCAGCCTTTCACGGAACGTCTGCTCGACAAAAACGTATTTTTCCAAAGAGTGTAAAAATCAATAATCTTCCAAGTTCCGGCGCCATACTCTCTACGTCAGTATCAAAATCATATCTACTTCTATGCGCATTCGCTTCGGGGCTAAAAGAAATCGCGCTTCCGCCTGCCCAGTGATCCTCGCTAATGGAAGTTGTTTATGCTTCATTTGGAAAGTGAAATAACAGTTCGAAATCGGATCACCATTTTCGTCACTTGCGAAAGAACAGATTTTTTTCAATGAAGGAATAAATATGCCTGGAGAATCCTCTCATTGTCACATATAAAGACAAATTGACATTATGGTTGTTTTTGCACCCGAATGATTTTTATTGTAAAGTGCTTTTTTTATTCGATGGCTTGATT